ACATTAATTCATTGGTGGATAAAGATTTTGTGAGTTCCAATCCACCAATGAATTAATGTGCCAACTCTTCGGTGCTTAGGATAAGATGAGCACCGGTGCTCATTAGATCATTTCTGTATATATATATATATAAATGACAGCCCTAAAGATTATAAAAATTCACCCCTTTAATGTTCTTTTATTTTGTACAAATTTAAAATACCTTTAACCTCAAAGAAACTACTCAAATCAGTACAAAATTAATTAAGAACATCAACCCTAAACTTTTCAACCAAAAACATTTTTACCATCTCATTAGGACATGGTATCATTTAAAATGGCACGCAACCATATTTAAATCTCCTTTTTTTAATACTTTGTACAGTATAAAAAGCATATATCAACATAACTCACATCCAACACCAACACATAAAGACTAAAATATTCAACTAATGCCAACACTAAAGCAAAGCATCTCCAAATTTTCTATAAGACCACTAATCAAGAAAACTCGACAGATCCAAATATCAAACACCATTAAAAACAAGAACTCAATTTTCGGACTCACAGCATTAAGATTCTATTATTAGTTGGTTTGTTCGGACAACCCAAAATGTAGAAAATGAAGGTCAAAATGCTGTCTTAGAAGTCAATTGCTCTATCATGTCCTCTGCGGAGTAGGCCGCAGCCTCATTTGACACTGCTACCCTCTCCAGCCATGTCGTTTTTGCTACTGCTACCTTCACCAGATGCTTCCTGGCCCTGTGAAAATGAAATTTACAAAAAGCCAGCTTGTTTCCACTAGGCATAAAAATTAGAATTTTGATAGAAAAAGAATACCAGAGTAAACGACACCAATTATAAGAATAAAGATAATGATAGAAATGTCAAAGAATCGATAAACTAATTTTTTATTACCAAGTTATTCTCATATTATAACACAGATGGATCGGACATGAAAAAGAAGTATGCATCATTCTTCATTATTCCTAGCAAATAGCTGAGCAAAATCGTTGTGTACAGAGCTTTTCATTTCTCTCGTCAGATAGCTTATTTCCATTCAATTTTCTCTCAGATAAGGTCTATTCTTGACATCCCATCACTTTGTTCTTCCTATTTTGGATGCCAAGGGAATGGAAATAAAAATGTACAGAGAAGAGACAGAATTGATTCAGCAAGTCAAACAAATATAAAAGCTCAGGGAGGGAAGGACGTGATTAAGAAACAGCCAGGAGTAATTCCATAAAATTTCAGAATTGGAATGCAAATTGTGCTTAAATTGCACTTTGGTACAGAATGGTCGGAAGATAATGGAGATGGAAGAGAAACTTCAACCTTAGTGTCAGCTTTTCTTCCTAAAAGGCTAAACAGCTAAGTTACTCAGAGAGTTCACCCATAAGTCAGCAGTCGGCCCGTAGTACATGAATAAATTAATTCTGGATTTTTAATCAATCAGTTTGTACTCGAGATCTCGCTCAATCATGCTCCCTCTAGCATTCTGATGTGATATACAGATAACAGAAGCTAAGGGTTCTTTATTTCATTAGTGGAAGCAAGTGTTTGCAAAGGTTTATAATCAGACAATTGCAAAGTTGGGGATTTCTAGGGCTATCATCATTGTCCATCTCCTGTTCCAGTCCTTTCTAGGATAAAATAGAATTACCTGAATAAGTCTTGTGCTTTTGCTGGATCTATTTTTCTGATCTCTCCAGTTGCGAGGATCAGCAACAAAATGCCAGTACTTAATCAAATGTTCTGCATAGAAGAAAGTAATAGCTAATGCTGAAAACATGCAGGAAAAAGTTCACACTCAATAAAGTCAACCCACTTGTTTAATGAGGTAATCAGGAATGTAAAGCATGTTGAGAGCCTAAAGGAGTGCTTTGAAATTCTTTGCATAAAATTCTTACTACTTTTATTTGATGGGAAAAAAACAGCACGAGCAGTTCCCAGTAAAAAGCTTAATGGAAGTCAATGATCAGACAGCATAATGAAGTCACAACACAAAATATTCATTGAAAATAGACTTCAAGCTGGTTTACAAGTTCAGTTGGCACAAAATTACTTCATAAAATATGTTCAATGTTTTCCAATCAAGTCACACGTCAGCTTGTATCAGTAAATATCTATTGACAGTCTCAATTGGAAAAGACGTACATTTTACTTGACAATCGCATTGAACATATTGAATTCTTTTGCGTGGAACCAACAGATTTCATCTCTACTTGCCAAAATCACCCATTTGTTTATATCTTATCCTTGAATGCACAGTCAAGTGTCAGCCACTAACAATTGCATGCGCATATGAAAATAGTGCATTTTGCCTTTCCACAACAGGTTTCAAGATGGAGAACCAAGGGGTAAGGGAGAAACAAGGGAAACCTGAACGTTCCTCCCAATGGTACTTCATTATTTTTAATCCTGGATGATTCATTATGGACAGCAGAAAATATTCTCTAGCCAAGTTGAAGAGGTATGAATATAAGCTGATTGCGCTAAACTGAAGCACAAAAAACATATCTAATTTTTTCAACCCCACGACGTCTCACAGCCATTAAATTAGTGAGCAGTACCATTTGTCCCGGCCATTGTAGCAGATTGTCAAAGGTTGGGCATGGGGTGAGGTTCATTAGTCTCGGCGAATTAAAGCTCTTCAGTTGTTGCACCATATAATGTCTCCATTCTGATGGCATTATACTTGTTAGGCACAATTTCAATCATCTTACAACGCGTCCATATGTCCTTGTTATTAATGCCAACTAATGTGTGTGCATTAATTTTACTCCCTTATTATATAGAATATGACATGAAGTGCCAAAGTTTTAAGTAAAATAGAGATGGTTTGTCAAACGTATGACGAAGGCAAGTAAAAAAAAACTGATCTTTTGGACTTATCAACAACCAAAAAAAGTTATCCTTTCATTCAAATTCTTCCAGGACACCTATAATTGCTTAAATATGAAAAATAATCATTAAATTATTGCTAAGAGGAAATTAGAAGGATCTGATAAATAACAACTAAAAGAAAATATACCTGGTATGAAGTCTGGGACCTGGTTTCTTCCTTCCTGTTGTGGAGCTTCATCATCTGAATCTGACAGAACTATGTATTCTTGATGAGGATCCAGCTGATTGGCAACATGGAAAGAAGCATTATCAAGTTCCTTATGTTCCTCAGGAATAAAGCCAAGAATAAGCTTTAGGTACTGAAAGCAAGATCCTGACCTTGGGGATCTTTAGGGTCGTACTTTGGTCTGGATTCTCCACCATTTGAACTTCTCTGGGATCTCGAGTTTCTATAACTAGTTAAGGCAATAAATGGCAGGTAGTTCCATGCAAATCCAAAGAAAGAGGAACACAACCAAAAACTAAATCTTATTTTCACTAAATTTAAGATTGACTAATTAATATTTTTTCTCATTTCTATGCTGTTCATTGCCAAGTTTACTAAAATACCAACTGCCAATGTTAGTTTTCACCTACTACTCCTTTCTTAGTGATCTCTTATGCTCCTCTATGTTGAAGTTCAGATTGTTTGATGCTATGAAGCACGGACATAGACACAAGCTATGGACAAGGAACACAGAGACATCATGTAACTTTTTGAAAAGTTAAGACAACACATCATGAGCACTCCAACACATAACATTTCAAAAAAGTACAATACAAACGCGTTAGGGACAATGAGACTTGTAACCTGTCAAAAAAGAAAAGCAGAAACACGTCAACAACAAGTTGATTAGAATAGTTTAAATCTACATGCTTATATATTATTTCTTTATTTTTTCATTTTTCAGTAAAAATAATACCTCTTGAATTTTATAAGTGAAGTTTTTGAACTAGAGTATATCTGTTATGTTAAGGTAATTTTATTTGTACTATTTGTCACTGATGCAAGCGGAAGAAAAATGCATACAATTCATATAATACAAATTGGAGAACTCATGGAATTTTTTTTTTTCAAATTAATACGACTTTCTTTTACATGGATAATATAATAGTTTAAAAAATTTCCTGAGTTAAATTTCTAGTTATAACACTATATGAGCAACAATATCGCTATACTATGTAACCCCTAGTTACTCCCAGTAGGCAGCAGTAAGTAAATTCTGCCTAGGAGCGGAATTTAGCATGAGTGGGTGCATTGTCAAATGCATGCTCTAAATATGAGTACATAACAGAAGACAAAAGATGCACAAATATTCAATATCTATCTTGTATAATTTTACTAACTGACACAGAACATTTTCCAACATAAGGATGCCATACAGCAAAACACTTTGGCTTTTACCATCCTTCGAATCCTGGCTCTTTGCAGACATATTGCTCCATTTTGTTAACAAGGTTCTTGCACTTTTTGAGATATCTAATCCTAAAATCAGAAAATGAAACAATCTAGCAGAGGAACATTTAAAAACTCCATTGCTAAGCATAAATGAAGGTTCACTATGTGATCAATCTACTAAAGAATAGAAGTTGCATAACATAGATTTTTTTTTTCCTGAAAAGTACAATGAAAAATGTTAAAGGATATATATCCCACATCGATAAATGATATTGACACAGACCAATTAATAAAGATATTGGTCTACTCCTCTTAATAAGGTTGACCTTTTAAGATGGAACCCTATTCTTAATATGGTATCAGAGCCCGTTATGCTCCAACGAGCGATTCGATCCCGTTAAAACTCTAAAATGAGCATGTGAATTTCAAGATTGATTTGCTCAAATGAGCCACCATCTTGCGGGGGCGTGTTAAGGGATATATATTCCACATTGATAAATGATGTTGACACAGATCAATTAATAAAGATCTTGGACTGCTCTTCTTAATAAGGTTGACCTTTTAATATGAAACTCTAATTTTTAACAAAAAATATACTATCTTAAATAATATGTGGGAGAAAGAGCATATAAATAAGATCTTTCTCTTCCTCAATATCAATGGATATTGAGGAAGATCTTGGACTACTCCTCTTAACAAGGTTGACCTTTTAAGATGAAACCCCAATTCTTAACAAAAAAATATATTATCTTAAATAATATTTTGGAGAAAGAGCATATAAATAAGATCTTTCTCTTCCTCAATATCAATGGATATCATCACTAAAGTTCATATGAAGCAATTAAACAACTATCCTTTAACAACCAGTCTAGAAATCAATATTTTGATACCAAAGGGTCCCATTTTACTCCTAAAAAGTATAATTCTTCATGACATCTAATCGGGGCCAATTTTGTTACCTTTTGTTACTGCATTTATGAGCACTTAGACACATATATACAAATATGCAGAGAGAAGGAGAAAATGATGGGGAGGCATGAAGAGAGATGGAGCAGATGGCGTCAAGGAGCAATTGCAAGAAAAAGAACACACCTGGTGTCCAATAAAATTGCAGTTTAGTGACAATTTTATATATTATTGTTTTTTGTGCAAGGAAAGCCATCTGTAGTGGCAAGATATGAAGAACCTGGAAAAAATAAATAACTTTTAAAACAACAGAGAAATATTAAAAGCAAGGCATGTGGTAAATCAACATTATGATGGAAAAAGACCTTAAGAATAATATTAAGGACACTTGTTTGTTCTTCCATAGCTGCTTGACTTAACCATGTTGCTAATATCATCATACCACCTTTTATTAACAACCTGTAAATATATAAGAAAGTACAAGGCGATAAAGAGTAATTCACAGTCATAATTGAAGCTGAATATACTTTTATGTCTTCTTCAGAAGGGGAGAGACTGTATATTCACAGCAAGCTTTAAAGAAAAAGAAGGAAACAATCACCTAAATATCAGCCTCAAAGATTAAGGTCAGATTTACTGAAAATAGATAACCTATCAAATTAGTCAATAGAGAGAATTAAGATACATAAATATTGACTTTCAAGGAATCCTTATGATTTGCCAACACTCCCCCTCAAGCTTGTGAATAGATGTTTCTGTTCTCAACTTGCTAGTGTTCATATGAATTGGATAACCTGATAGTCCTTTGATTAAAATATCAACTTCTTGTACTTCTTTTGAAATATATGGTATGCAAATAAAAACGCTTCCAGTTTTTCTTTCATGAAATGTCTTTCCAATGCTACATGCTTTGTACAATCATGTTGGAGAGGATTACGTGCTAAAGGCTAACTAATTATCAAATACAATGTCCTTGTTCCTTCCCATTTTACTCTGAGGTCATTAAGATCAATCATCAACTAAAGCATCTCAAAATTTCCTTGAGCCATGACCCTAAATTCCTGGTGCACTAGATCTAACAACCACTATTTGCTTCTTACTCCATAACACTTAATTTTCTCCCAACAACGGGCAGTATCTTGATATTGACCTTAGATCTACAATTGACCATGGCCAATCTGCATTGATATATGCTTCCAAACTCAATTTCATATTTCTTCTAAATAAGACATACCTTTCTGAGGGCTGAACTTTAAAAATGAAGAACTTCACAATCTGTTTCTAGACGACTTTCTTTAGGTGAATCCGTGAACTGACTTACCATACCAACATCATAGGCTATATTCAGTCTTGTATGGCCCCAAGTAAAAAAGCTTGCCAACCAGCATTTGATGCATACCTCAGTCTACAAATGTCTCTTAGACTCTCCAAGCTTATAGCATCCCAGTTTCCTTAAGGAGGGAAAGGAAATATATCTATTGTGATATAAAGATACCTCTTTTCGAGTGAGACACCTTTAATACCTAAGATATACTTAAGTCTCCAATCTTTCATTTCAAATTCTTAGGTCAATCATTTTTTCAGCCATTACATCTCATCCTAATCATTCCGGTCACAGTATTATCATCTCTGTAATCAAGGTTGTGACCTTTCCAAAGCTGGAGTGATTGACGAAAAGATTATTATATCCTTGACTTTATTGGTATTTCAACTCTACCATAGCCTTGGTAAACCTACCTAACTATGCTCTAGGAGATTGCTTAAGCATAAATAGTGCCTTCTTGAGTCGACCTACTTTGTTGATAAAATCCCATCAAATATTGGTGGCTTCCATGTATACTTCTTCAAATCACCGTTTAAAAATGGATTCTTGACATCGACTTCTTGTGAAGGCCAACCAAGATTAGCTATTAAAGATATAAAACAAGAACACATTTTTCGTTCCTCCAGAGCGAAGGTTTCTTGATCATCCATCCATAGGTTTGAGTATAAACTTTAACCACCAACCACGTTTGATACTTAAGCTTCGCTACTTAACATTTAACACCCGTTTACACCCATTTACTCCCTCTCATTTGTTGCATGAAAAGAGAGTAATCAAATCTTTGAGTCTATAACACTAGAATATGTTCTTCATGTTTCAAATTTGTCTTGCAATCTATTGTCTATTAGCTAGTTGACAAAACGCTCCAATTGCTATGTTTTCCATATCACTGTATTTTTTGGGACCTTTCATCGAGGAAAATAATATGCAGTGCTAAAGAGTGTGAGGGACTCTACTAGTTTGAAGAGACTGATGTGAGTAAACAATGTAAAATTGTAATTTGTGATTTTGTATCTGACTATAGAAATAGTAAAATTCTATTATGACATATAGAATGAGTCATCCTAATTTTCAATACTTAATACGTGTATTTTATAATTTCGAATAAAATGACTACTTATTTCCAATGTAAAATTTGTGAATTAGCAAAACATCAACATAATTGTTTTTCAAAATCCAATTACAAACCATCGAAATGATTCATTATGATTCACGATGATTTATGGGACCCTTTACGAACTCTTAATTTTACTCACACAAAATAGCTCGTTGCGTATATTGATGACCACACTCGAGTTTGTTGGGTTTACCTGTAAAAAGAAAAAACTGATGTCCGTTCTATCTTTATCAATTTTCATTTGATGATTCAAACATAATTCCAAACACAATCAAATTTTGCACTATGATAATATCACAGAATATTTCAATGCTACCACCTTGCGAGACTACATACAAAAATAAGGGATAGTACACCAAATGCTAATCTAGACACAAAAAGTATTTATTAGTCTCGATGTCACATTCTTTAAAAAGACTCCTCCTTTCCAAAAACCTTCCCTTCATGGAGAGAATTTGAGTGAACACCAGTTCTTGGACTTTGATTTCTCTCATTCTGAACCTATCCCAAACACCAATCTATCACACCATCTTGTCCACCCTATCTCAAAATTCTTATCTTATAATGCTCCATTTATAGGGTTTCGTGTTTTTGCATCTAATCTTAATAGTACAAAAATTCAAAGAAATATTCAAGAAGCCTCTGGAAGTTTCAAAATGGAGTGTGGAAGAAATGTGAGCTCTAGAGAAAAATGAAAATTGGATTGTGATGGATGTGCTAAAAGGAAATAAACCCTTGGGTTTTCAATGTGAAGTTTAAAGCTGGTGGACAATAGATCGGTATAAAGATCACCTAATTGCAAAATGATACAAACAAATATACAACATTGACTACACACACATGTTTGCACCTGTGACAAAGTTGAATCCAATTCGAGTTCTATTGTTTTTAATAGCCAACTTGGATTAGCCTCTTCAACAACAGGACATTAAGAATGCATTCCTGAATGGGGAATTAGAAAAAGAAGTCTGCATGACATTATCACAAAATTTTAGTAAAACCAATGAATAAAGACAGGCATGTAAACTCAAAAAATCTCTATATGATCTCAAACAATCACATAGAGCATGGTTCGATAGATTTGCTCAAGTGTAGAAAAGTCAAGGATATTGGTAAGGACAATCACATCATACTGTGTTCTTCCAACAATTTAAAGACGAGACGAAGATACTTTTAATGTATATGTTGATAACATAATCCTAACTGGAGACAATTTAGTGGTAATGGAAAGACTAAGAAACGTCTAGTCACTGAATTTGAAGTAAAAATTTTGGAACAAATACGATACTTCTTGGGAAAAGAAGTAGTAAAATGAAAAAAAGGGTATCAGTGTTTCATAACGAAAATACATTCTTGACCTTTGACATTCTTGGATACTGAATTTGAAGTAAAAATCTTGGAACAAATGCGATACTTCTTCGGAAAAGAAGTAGCAAAATGAAAAAAGGGTATCAGTGTTTCATAACGAAAATACATTCTTGACCTTCTGATCGAAACTGACATTCTTGGATACTGAATTTGAAATAAAAATCTTGGAACAAATGCGATACTTCTTGGGAAAAGAAGTAGCAAAATGAAAAAAGTGTATCAGTGTTTCATAACGAAAATACATTCTTGACCTTCTGATCGAAACTGACATTCTTGGATGTAAACTAAGCGACATACCTATTGATACACGGAGAAAAACAAGACATCGGGAACCTAGTAAAAAAAGATAGGTGTCAAAGATTAGTTAGCAAGCAAATCTACCTAGAACATACTAGGCCTGATATTGCATTTGTAGTTAGTGTGGTAAGTCACGTGCATTCTTCAAAGGAAACTCAATTGGAAGCAGAATATAGAATCCTCAGTTACCTCAAAGGCTTCTCTGAAAAAGACTATTCTTCAAGAAAAATGAAAGAAAAAAAGTAGCATTCACATATGGAGAATGAGTCGTATTGAAGGTGAAAACATGAAAAATTATTTCACCGTATTTTTTATATTGATAATGTACAATACATAGCTCTTATTTATAATAGAGGAAAGAATTAAAAGAAAGGAAATAAATCTCTAATCAATTTACAATATTCTATCTATGGTAAGTAAAATCTCCAACAATCTCCCTAATTATATTCCTTCGAGATTTCCAACACGTATCAATAAATGATAGGAGATCAACTATCGATTCTTGCACCTTTGTATAGGGAAACCTAGTAACTTGAAGAAGAAATAGAATTTTGTGCCCAGAAGTATTGTTGAGGCCGAGTTTAGAACAGTTGCACAAGAAATATGTGAAAGATTATGGTTAATCAATCCAGTAAAACATAACCGAACCAAGTGGATAGACATTCTATCAAAGAAAATGTTGAAGACGAAGTTATTTGTATGACCTATAGCCTTACAAAAAAGCAAAGTACAGATATCTTCACCAAAGGATTACCTCAACACAATTTCGATGATTTCATCCGCAAGTTGGATATGGTCAACATCTACAATCCAACTTGAGGAAAAGTATAGAATACCCGGAAAATTATATGGGATAATTGTAATTGATTCTTTGTACCTTATTTAATTCTTCTATAGTTATGCAGAATTTTATTTTCCTAATTTAGGAGAGTGCTTCTCCTTTTCTGTTGTATTATGAATTAAGAGCAATATGCTTGTATAATCATCAAGAAATACAGAAAAGTTATTCAGATTTCAATATATGTAATTTTATTTATACACGAAAATAAGTAACCAAACTCCTAATTATTTGGATTAGCAGGTCAAATTTACAGAAAATAAAAAACGTACTGAAGTAAACTATACTGAATCAATCAAAATAAACAGAAATAGATAAGATACAAAATTCTTGACTTTCCTACTAGGCAGGTATTCCATATCATTTGCCAACGGATTATATTGATTATTACACTAATAAAGAGAGAGTGCAATACCAAGATAGGACAGAAGGATTTTCTATTTGCAAGATCGACTCCATCAATTTGACTTGTCCAGAGAATGATTTTTCTTTCTTCATTAACGCAATCTTTTCATCTATAAAATGTTTATCTAACTCTTCCAGATCAGGTAGGACTTTGACAATATCTGCAGGAACCACTTTAGAACAAGGAAACTGCTATTTATCATCCTAAATCATTTATCAATTAAAAACTACAATTGGTATAGGCTCAATCAAGAACCCTATATTTATTAGCCAACCGAACTACAATTGCCCAATATAAAAATGCCGACTTACCAGTCTTAATTGATAGCCGTCCAGCCACCTGCATTAGAATTTTTAAAAGAAATAGATGAGTAATTATCAAAAACAAAAGTGAAATTTTTCTAAAATTGGCATAAAAAGAGAATAATTATTACCATCTCTGGAGACAGTGGATTGACACCAGTTAATTCACGATGGGTTTTAACCAAGTATTTAAGCTGTTGGATCTGGCTCTTGAAGAGCTGCTTCTGCAAGTCCAACAACTCTGTATACGTTGTAACAGAGCTGATCAAGCAGTTCTGCTCTAGCTCTTTCGTGAACTCCATTCTCTGTTCCTGAAAATTAATTTTCCAGCTTATCGTATATGACCATTAAGAATAAACTAGCAGTAAAAGGATAAAAGCATTAAATTACAAAATAAGGTTCTGGGCTCTGCAATCAGGGTGCGGCGTAGCAGAATATGAAGAAACACAAAAAGAAAGCTCGTTGATCCACAAAACACGTTGATTTGTGTGAATAGCAAGCTTGGATCAAGAATGATTTGGAACTCTCCAAAAGACTCTTCATCGCTATAAAATAAAAGAGGCAAAACATTGGCACGCCACGTGTCACGATTTCCTATCACCATCAAAATTCAATTTTTTGTTTTTTTTTTTTTTGTAAACCCTAATGTCATCTATTTTCTCTCTCGCTCTCTTCCAGCAGAAATGATTCGGGTCATGATTTGTTGGCAGCATAAATCAGCCGTTGTTGCCTACGTCGTCACAGCCGCAGTCGGGGAAGGAGTCACCTCAAGTAGACAATCAACCGCTCAACTCAAATTTTATAGCCATACTGCCAATGCTTCTCTGCGTGCTAATTTGCGTTCTGGGCCTTGTCGCTGATTTTATAGTGATATCACTATCACTTCCGCTCTTCATTTCCGTCTCTCTCAGCCACTGCCTCCGCCCTGAGTGTCGTTGGCACCTATACCCTTTGAGCCCTTTCTTCTCTCCGACCTGACCGGGCAGGTCGATCTCTGTCGGGGGCGTTGCCTCCGAACCCCCTCGACCCCTGCAACCTGATCCCAGTCAGGCGTTGCCCTCGAGCCCCATGAAAGGCACTGCCCGCGACCTGATTGGTCGATCCCATCGAAGTGACAAACCATTTAAGTAACAACAATAAACAAATAAATAAATTATGAAAAAGTATATTATCTCAAAATTTCTAAACTAATAGGAATCTCAGTATTTTCAATCTCTAACTTCTTGATGATTGGATATGTTGTTTTTTGGAGTTGGTCCTCTTGTTAGATTATATGATTAAAAATGACACAAAAATAACAATCAAATTTATCATCATTAGAACTAACGTAATTAGGTTCCTAACACAAACAACTTGAATTTAAACAAATAACTAGCTAAAATGTGCCAAACATGAGAAATTACCTCTTCATTTAAACTCCTAAAACATTTACAACATAATATAAAAGAAAATCATTAAATCATTGATTATATTTAGTTCAGAATACATTTGTGACGCAATTAATACCAAATCTTCATATGAATAATCGAAAAGATACAAAAAGTATAAACGAAAAGTGGGTTCATTTGAATTAACTTATGAATATCTTTCATATTTACGAATGAATTTCTCTAAAATTTACATATATTTATTTTGAACATTAAACAACTAATGTGCAACGCACGTTAACCACACTAGTATTTGTATAAACTTCAACCAAAAGGCAACATTCAGTTTTGCAAGAATATAAAGCTCAGTAAACCCTAGATAACACAGCTATAAAACTTGACTAGACGGCTCTCCTACCTAATAAATTAACACTAAATAATTAGACAATACTTATTACAACAAATGCAAACAATTAAATTCCTTGCTCAGAAACTTCTTGTTCCCTTGGTTTTGCTTTCTGTTTTTCCAATTGGTCTTAGGATGCCCAAGCCATGTTATTAACTCCATCAATGTGGATTCTAGAATTAATTGGAGAGAGGTAGATAAATTAAGGTTGTGACTTGGAAATTTTCACACAGAGGATTTGACGATGCAAGTACCATGGTATATGAGGGGAGGAGAACTAGGGAAGTTGGAAAGTTTAGCAACAGCTCACTGTTTAGAGTGGAGAATAGGCATGTGCTTGCTTGAAGCACGGCTCTGACATGTGGTATTGAGGGAAGGAGGGATGGGATGGGATGAGGTGGGGTGGGGTGGGGTGAAGTGGGAAATCATTTGAGGTGGCAGAAAATGGGATGAAAAATTAACTTTTACACTGTTCCTTCTCACAATAACTAATTAGATAATAAAGTTTTCAGGAAATATTCTAAAAAGTCCTGAGAGAAACAGAAAAGTAGACTTTAATTTTTTTTTAAGTATCTTCAAACAACTAAACGTTCTCAAATACCCTCTATCCTTATTCTGCAGCGCCCAGTGTTAACACTACAAAAAAAAGGAACAAGGACGAGGAGAAAAAAAAGGCCAATTTGCCTATGATTTTCTCAGTTTTGTGTTGTCTTCAGCCCTCATGTCACCACACAGGGGACAGGGAGATGAAAAAAGAGGATCCTATCTACTTGTTCCGACCTACAATTAAGCTCATGAGCTTGGTCCGACTTCAGAGTCAAGAGACGAAAGAAGGCTTCTATCTCCAAGTTTAACTCAGACGTTTTGAGAAATAAAGTACGTATAATACATGTTTTTCAAGTAAAGGGCCACAGCCGTTGTAATACCTCAGACCAAGAAAGTTTAAGAGATTTGATAGGTACTACTCATATCACAAGGTGCACCTTCTTTTCCGGAAGTCCATCGTTGGAAACTCCACAGTTAAGCGTGCTTAGCTTGGAGCAATTCTATGATGGGTGACCCCCCTGGGAAGTTTTCTCGGGGAGCGTGCGAGTGAGGACAAAG